CATGATGATGATGATGATGATGATATCAGATGAAATAATAAATATAGTTTTTCTTATATTGAAAATAACTAATGAAACAAAACGTTTGATTTTACCAACCATTATAGTTAATGAAAAACAATAATTTCATCATGTAACAGTTATTCAAATTATTAAAATTCCCATAGGAAAATTTCATATTTAAAGAAAAATAAATTTAATAAAATGTGTCTGAATATTCCAAAACAAAAACATCATAGAAACAGAAACAGAAACAGAAACAGAAACAGAAACAGAAAGAGAAAGAGAAACAAACTGTTTTTATTTTATCATCTAAAAAGACTTTTTTTCTGAACACTGATGAGTTCGAGAAATGAATTTTGTTTACATATAAAGGATTTATCTTAATTTTGACTACATATAGTTGATCTCCAATTTTTAATCATCAATAATAATTAAAATCGAGAATAAAACAATAATTTTTTTGTATTATTAATAGTAGAAAGAATTTTCTTGTTTATTTCACATTTTAAATCGGATAAAAAAAAGAAACTTAAATTGCTTTACTAAGATATTTTAAAGATTTGATAGGAAAATATTTTGATATATATTTTAACATGGTGCATATTTTATTTGTAAATAATCAATTAAAGATTGTGTTTGTGTTATATTAAATTCATTCCAAATAGTTATTGATGGATTGAGAAATTCTGTATTTTTCATATAATATATTGTAGCAAGAGAATAATTAAGAGTAGTTTTTGATATATCTAATCCATCTACAATCCAACTTTTTCCTTGATCAGGAGTTTCAATTCCACAAAAAGCAAGAAACATTCCACTACCTCTCATTGACATACCATTAGTTAAGACATTAGCAAGATATAAACCAGGAACAGAAAGAGAATAAAGATTATCTTGAAAAGGAAATACACGTAAAATATCATATTGTGTTATTGTTCCTCTAAGAATATCATCAATACGCATTGATCCTGTATTAAAAACTGCAATTTTTGTTTCATTTCTATATGTTGAATTTAAAATACTTTGACAAGCATAATCTGTTAATAATGTTGCAAAATTTCTTACTGATGTTGAACGACCATCTAATTCAATATTAGGTGGTAAACAAGATACTGTTTTATTAGGTTGAAATCCCATTTGTTGAAAACCTTTTATACCTAAATCATACCAATAATTGGTAACTTCAGCTGTTTTTTGTTCATCTTCTAATTGAGAATTAATTTGTGTTAATGTTTGATAAACACGAAATTGTTTAGTATTAACATTAAAAGCACATCGATGAATATAAACAGTAAATGCATTTGCATCAGCTTTTGTTATTGGAATATATTGAAAACCACGTGATAAAAAATAATTTTCATGTTCATGTCCACCTAATATTAAATCAATTTCTGGTATATGTTGAGCAAGTTGTATATCAACTTGCAAATCTAAATGAGTTAATGCAACTAAAACATCATATTTTATATTTGAAATTGATTTAATAAATTGTTGAACAAATGTTATAAGTGATGTTTGATTAATAATACGAATATATGATTTATTAATATCAATTGTTAAACCAATTAAAAGAATATTTATTTCATCAATTGATATTATTTTATATCGAATTGTTGATGAAAATGATTGATTAGTTCCAATTTTAAATACATTTGAACTAATCCAAGTAAATTTTGATTCATTTATTCGTGAAATTAATTCTGTTTCATTTAAATCAAATTCATGATTACCAAATATAACAAAATCTATTCCTAATGTATTCATAGATGCAATCATTTGTCGTCCATTTAATGTTGTTCCATTTATTTTTGATTGACTTAATGCTGATGGTGAAAGAAAATCACCAACTAATATTGTATATGTTTGACGATTTTCTTCTAATAATAATTGTCGAACACGAGCAACACGAGCTAAACCACCTTTTCTTCCTTGATCTAAAGGAAGCATTTCATAAACATCATTTAATTGTAAAAATGTCCATTGAATATATTTTCCATCATTAGGTAAACGAATAGGAAAACCTATTGTACCTTTATCAACTGCATATAAAGAATTTGAATGAGATTTTGAACGATTCCACAAAACAGAAAATGTTATTGTTGTTATTGTTAAACTAATTATTAATAAACATGCAATTACAATAATTATTAAATTATTTTTTTTTTCAAATAATTTAGACCATTTTGAATTTAAATTTATTTGCTAAACATATATATATATATAAAGAATTTATTTTATTTATATTAATTAATAATCATACAATAAAATACTTACTCTATCATCAATTAACATTATAATTATATTTGTCTAACTACTTTCAAGAATATTAATTAATTTTTTTTTATTTTGCTTTTTTTTTCATGCACAATAATAAAATAAGATATCAATTGTTTTACTTATGTCTTTTTATTTATTTGAATAACCACCTAAAAGAATTTAAAAAAAAATGTTTTATTATCTCTATCATACTTATTTTAATATAATAAATAAACTGATAAGCATGTTTATTTGTCAAACAACACCATGTATTCATATTTATTTAACTTTATTTATTTTAATAAACAATAATCGACAATATATCAATAGATATGACCGGTTACTAACCTTATTTAAAAGAGTCTTTTCATATTTTTTTTTAATTTTGTTAATTTTATTTTCGATAAAGTAACATTTCTTAGTAAAATAGATCACGACAAAATTTCTCTTTACTTCGAAAGCTAATATTATTTTTGTATTCGATACTTTCATCAATCAATTTTAGGAGAATCTCAATATTTCCGAGTTTCTTCAAGAATGATTTGGCAAAACTTTTCGAAAATTTTCAGCTAGATAGATTTCTTGACAATTCTACAATAAAAGCTCTCATAGACAAAAAATGCTAAAATGCTTCATTCTCCAAGATATTCATAGTACAACAACTGCAAATGATTTAAAGTTCTCCTTTTCAAAAATTTCTATTGATTTTTAGAATCAAATTTTGTTTCTGTCTAGCAAATAGAAATAACTCTGGATACCTAATTTTTTCTTTAAAAAATATTGATGTTGACTCTCTACATAATTAATGTACTCAACGTACTATAAGAAAATCATTAAACAACGCTTCTTTTTTCGAATGACCGTAATTTTATAAAAATCTGTCAATGTTTCTAAGTATTATATATTTAAGAAGAAATAAAATACGCACATTCTTATTTAATCTAATAACCTATGAAAGTGTTTTAGTTCAATATTAGTGTTATGCAACATGTTTTCGTAGTGTTTTCACAATTAGTTTGTGTCAACATAGGACATTGAACAACATGAAATAGTCTTTAATTAAAAAACAAAAAAAAAAATTATTCTTGAAGATTTATTTTAGTTTAATAAATAAATAAATAATTATTTATAAGTGAAAATTAATTAAAGATTAATTTTAAAAAAATGATTTTCTTTATCAATTGAACAATTGAAAGTGAGAAAAAAAGTCAATCATATGAATAATATCGATGAAATAAATGATAATATTCAAAAGGAGAAAAAAATAATAATTATTATATTATATTGAGAGATAAATTGAAAAATATTCTTTTTCAAAATTATAATCACAATAAAAATAATACACATTTTACAATTATAATTCAATTACATTCTAATCAATAATCAAGAAATTTGTCGGAAGTTCTTTTTAAAAAGAATTTTTTAATTAATAAAAATTGCAAAAATTTTTTGAAGAATATCAAAATCTATTACTCAATTTTTTTTTTCTTTTTTTGAAAGAGTAAAGTTCGTTGAGTTTATACATAAAACAAAAGAAAAACATTTTCAGAAATAACAATTTTAGTATGATTCTCATTTTTAATTCCTAACTACGAGAAATAGAACGGGAAAAAATCTTTTCCACAGGACACTCCAAATAGGCCGTAGTGTATCGCAGAAAAGGGGGAAAATATTTCAACTTTTCTGTTTGAAAATTTCACTTCGAGAAAAAAACACAGATAATTGTAATTTTAGGATTCGTTTAGCATGAAATAGAGTTCTTTTTTTTTCATATACAAGAAGGCAGATTTGACTTTTTAAAATATATTTATTAGATCGAGAGTGTTCAAGTCTATATATTGAACTGAAAACAATGAAAATCGAAAAAAAAACTGAAAATATTTGATCAAAAAGCGAAGATCCACTTCAAACGTTTGTTTTCATATCATCAATTCACAGATATTTGTCGATAAAATGTAGTTTTAAAGCATAACAGTAACTTTTCTGTTAATGATAAACTCTACATAAAAAACTTCCTTCGTATTTGATATAACTTTAATCACTGACTTTGCTGCACATTATTTGTGAAAATTTTAAAATTTTAGACTAACGAGCGAAGGTCCCCAAGTGTGAGTCTCCGTTTTGAATCGGGTATTTGTCATTTTGTAGAGCTCAGTGAGTACAGTAACTACGTATAAAGGATTCATTCCATCGATGAACTTTTCAGGAACAACAGGGTTCCATACCTTCCGAAAAATTATCATAAGACTCTTAACTGAAGGCCTGAATTTTAATATTGTAAGGACAAAACACATTGTTATTCGGGCAAATCTGGGGTTATCAAGGATGCTCTTTCATATGACCCGAATAATAATGTGTTCCATCCTTATAACAGTAGAGTTCATTTTTTCTATAGCTCATAGAAAACAGCGTTTTCTATCAAACACCAAAAAAATTCACTTTACTATTATAAGGACAAAACATGGTGTTGTTCGGGCCATATGAAAGAGCATCCTTGATAACCCCAGATTGGCCCGAATAACACTATGTTTTGTCCTTACAATATTAAAATTCAGGCATTCAGTTAAGAGTCTTATGATAATTTTTCAGAAGGTATGGAACCTTGTTGTTCCTGAAAAGTTCACCGATGGGATGAATCCTTTATACGTAGTTACTGTACTCACTGAGCTCTACAAAATGACAAATACCCGATTCAAAACGGAGACTCACACTNTGATCAATATAAATAATGAAAATAAATGTCAACTACAAATACATTTTTCTTTATCATGATTTGTTGTTCGTGTTGATGAATTATCTTGTGATGATTCAAGATAATGCATAAGAAATAAATCACTTTGAATTCGAAATACTTTATTTAATGCTATTAAAACATTTTTTTTTGTATTATTATCAAAATTTTCATTAGACCAAACAGCTTCAATAAGAAGATTTTCAATATAAGTTAATGTAGCATTAATATGAATAAAATCAACATTAATTGATGTTGATCCAACTTTATTTGTATGCATTCTACCAACTCTTGAAAGATATGCAAGAAATTCATTTGTCCATTCACGTTGTAAAAGTAATCGTTTTAAATAACTACTTAACATATCTCGACGATAAACCATTTGTGCTGAATCTAATGAAAGATTTTCAGTTTTTCTTGAAGGTCCATCATATACATCATTATGTAAAATAAAATAACTTTTTGTTATATCATATTGAAATAATTTTCTATAAACTGAATCAACAATAACTGGAATAACTGAAACAGCTGATGTTGCAAACATATTTAATGCTGATATATCTTCTGAAGTAAAATTAATAAATTTTGAAAAATAATCAAAACGATAATGAATATCTTCATGCAATCGATCATTATCAATATGTTCTGCCATTATAATTTATTTTTTTTTTGTTCTAAATTAATAGGAAAATAAATAAAATCGGGACATAGATTAAGTTTTATACTCTTTTAGAAATTGTTTTTTTGTTATAGCGTGAGCAAAGATTAATGAAAAGAAAAAGGAATGACAAAATAAATGCAATCCTTTTTTTTTTCTCTTCATTCTGTTGTCGGTAAACAAGACTACGTTGAACATTGCTTTCTGTTAACATAGAAATGCAGTTTCATCACAAGAACATTTTTCTAGAAAGAAAATATTTATTAGTGGAACCTCTCGTGAGTTGAAATGTGACGTTCGCTTGTCCTCATCAATTTCCTTATTGTAACATATGAAATATCTAATTCAAAGTGTCTCGAGTATATAAAACTTCTTTGCCGAAATTTATTATTGACAAATAAATTATATTCTTTATTTATCTCTCTATTTTATCTTATAGACGATCTATCTTCATCTTTCTTTTTTTAATAAAATTTATAATAATATTTTTATTCTTTTTTCCTCTGATATATCCTTTCTATTAGAACATTGTTCATCAGTGAATACTACAAGAGTACGACTTAATATACTCATATATTGATCGAATCTCTACTATTAAAATCAGTATTTCATTTTTAATAGATCATCATTAATAATTTACAATATAAATTTATCTTTGTTTATATTCTTATTTAAGACTAATTAAATAATAACATTGAAATTAACATTAAATACAACCAAAGATAATTAATTGTGCATAAGATATATCCAAAATAAAAACAACTGTTTTTCATAATCTACTATATGAAC